CTATGTTCTCCCTATCATTATAGGTGTCAACCGATCTCCGGTGGTACCACTCACTCAGTGATCAACATCAGATACCGTGCAGGACAAAACCACAATAACCGAGTGAACTACCTGCCTCATTTCGAAACACACTCAACAAAGTAAAACAAGAGCACAAGCCAAAACAAAATAAAAAACTGGTGCTTCGACACAAGGTCTCCACTTAAGTAACGAGCACAATGACCGAGCAGAAATCATAGAACATAAAATGGCATACAACATTGCGTACTCTTATGACCCTAGCCGATCCCCTAGCGCTCAGCGTCTACCCGTATGCAGGCCTCTTCCCCGACTCCGAGTCCCGGACCCTCGTTGGATGGTCCGAACTTCCACTTACTCAACTCAGTCGCGGACTGGGGCATGTGAGAGGCTGTCTTATAAGACCACCGCTGCGCATGTCCGGGTTTGGTGCGGTGTACATAGAGTGTGCTGCAGTTCCCCTTTGGCCCCACAAAAACCACCCCGTTGCGATCTAGGCATTCCTCAATCTCACTTACTCTCTCTAACTTTCGGTCTAGCGCCGTGTCGACCAAGACTCCGACAACTGCATCCTCAGAAAACCCATTCTCATCCAACTCCACATCTGCCACTCCTACTGGTAATGCCTCATCGTCTCGTGGGACCTTCGAGGTAGAAACCGCAGCTAAACCGTCTGTATCCACTCTAGCAACCTCGACATCGACAGCATTTGTTTCACCCAGTGGCACCGGCGTGCCAGCGTTCCCCCCAAACACACATTCGCTCAATGAAGGAACATTCCCTCGATCACGGAAATTACATTAACCACTTCCGCACACGGTAAACCATGACTCATTTTTACGGAGCTTGTTTCCTCGCGAATATTTACGACCGCGATTGACCTCTGCGCGTCAACGTCATGAGGAGGAGTTGCGTCTAGGTTTCCAGATTCGAATTTTCCCGCCCTCTCCTTGCCTTTGTGAATGCGGCTGCCACCCGTCCAATTCCACTTTCGTCGTCGATACCGGTGGCATTCTCGCCAAATGTGACCAAACCTGCCACAGTTATAGCACTCGCCAGGATAAAGGAGCTGCTTCGGGAATTCCTGCCAATTCTGTTTCACCTTATTGCGTACTGCCAAGCTCTCCACAAATTTTTCGAGGCGGTCAAGGCGGCTATGCATCTCATGAATATCCGTGTTCTCTTCTGCGTATCGAACGAGTAACGTATGGCTCCACGACACTTTCTCATTCTGTTCCTCCTTGACCACTATGCCAATGGCCTCGTCAAATGTTTTTGGATCCCGAGAGAGAACAAATCTGCGGACCGGATCCCTCAGGCCTAATAAAAATTGCGAGAGTAATTGTTCGGCTAGAATTTCGCGGCACAGTGAAGCTTTCACCGGATCCTGACTATCGGAGCTCGCCAGGGTGGCGGTCCCGAGGATGCGCAAGCGACTTTCAAATGACCGCACCTCCTCATCTGCCCTCTGCCTCGCGTTTAAAAACCTTTCCATTTTAAAGATAAGTGGCTCCGTATCAAACCTCTTGAGGGCCAAATATTTGAACTCAGAAAAAGTTGCAGCCGCAGCGACGTCATCATCCCACCACGCAAAATCGTGCGCCACGCCTATAGCATGTTGCATCGTGCTATGCAGACCAGCTCACTATCCCGCCATGCACCCAAGTGACCAACCTGCTCCAAATTTTTCAAGAAGACCCCACCATCCGGACTCGTATCACCTCTCGTAAACGACGGAACCATGTCCGCTAACATTAACGCGCTCATGTCTAGTGGGTCGTCTCTGTCGGTTATCTTGGTAGCCTGCTCGTTCATTTTGCCGCCTCTCCTTCCCTAGTACGAAGGTGAAATCTCGCACCGTTGCCCCAGCAGTAATCCCACCACTGCCACCACTTGAGGCGTCCCCCGCTACGCCACCGATTACCAAAGAGAAGGAAGACCACTCAGCCCTTGTCTATCCGGTTCCCTCTTGGCTATGTGTCTCAATCACTTCTCACATACAGGGATTTGTGCTGGCGCCGGGAAGTAAGAGACGCTACGACCTGTTTCTGTTTACTGATTCATTTAATTTATTACTAACTGCAAACATCGTATACCCGCGTACATCAACCACTACACAAAATTATAACACACGATTTACACTCACGCGACGTGCGACGCAGGATACATAGGGGAAATAACTTTGACAATACAATGGTGCGACGATACAAAGTAAACGCATGACGACACAAACACGATGAAGTTATCAGTTACCAAAACCCGCAATGTCACAACACGCCACCTCCCTTCCCGCAAAGCTAATCTAAATAAGGTGCATAAAGTCCGTCTCACGAAAGGTCCATGTTGATGGGGGCCTCGGAGCTGGCTTTTCGAGTCGGGGCTCAGGGCTTCTTCCTGGGGTCATTGTCCAATTCGTCAGCGTCTTCATCGTCTTCGTCATCGTCGCCTTCGTCGTGCCTCTCAGTGATTTCCATCTTAGCCCTCTTTCGTAACGTTCCATTCACTCGCCTCCTATCCTTAACTTTCATTTCTCATCGTACCGCCCTTGCCCCAGTCATCATCTCATCGCCTCTCATCGCTATCTCTTCGCACCGTTATCTTCCTTTTCCATTCCGTCGCTCTACCATCTCGAGCTCATCGCATCGTATCTCCGACTCTTCACGCTTTTTCTCGTAGTCCCTTTTCGTAGGCCCCGACTCCGCCCTACCGGGGCACCAAACCAATCGCCACTTTCGCCGCGGCATATTTTCTTGTCAGTCGGAGTGTGTCATCTTCGACGGCCGCCCCCGCGGCCCACATCAGCGGAGAACCCTCTCCCAAGCAAAGCCGAGCGAGTGACAATGTTCAAACTCAAGCCTCAGGGAGAGAGATGGACGAGCCGTCCGAAGACACTTTAATTACGGGCGAACAATGGTCCCGATGCTTCCGACAAAGTGCGTCGTCTGCAATGGCCAACGTCCGGAGTTCGCAGTGTTGTGCCAAAATGTTTTCGGCCGAACCCATTGCCCCGGTTTCTGGTACTTGATGAGCCGATGTCCAGAACGAGTCTCGACGTCTCCATGCAGCTCGGTGTCTCCCGCGAAATTCTCGGTAGCCGCCCCTTCTTCGTCATTTAACGCCGCGGGTGGCCATCCGCGCAGAATGCAGTAATGAGCCCTGGAGCCACGGAGGCTAACGGAAAGTCAGACCGGACCCGGCACAGGCGCTGCGGCAAGGTCGCATTCCTCGAACCAACAAAAGGTGCTCTGCTGCTCCCTTGTGCCACAAATCTGAAGGGTGCGCGTGGATTATTGCCACCGTACACTGTCACACTGTCTGTAGACAACGAGGCGCCGCCCGGTCCTCGTGTTTGCGTGGGGGGGGGGGGGGGGCGAGAACAGTAGAAATTATCCTTCCAGGTACTCCACTCCCGAATGCCCATTCGTTACACCGAAGGTTTTCATTTCCTTTTTTTTTTTAATGTGTGGGTTTAAGAAACGAGCGTAAACATCTTGAAAGGACCGGAGTTCAGTCCGTGTTTGCGGGGACGGCACACCTGCAATTTAATGAGGAGCATTACAATACTGTGATCAGTGCATCAATTCTAACTATCGCTAAGTACCTCTTGTCATTTATTTTCCACATCAAATGAAAAAGTATATTGATGGAATGGAAAACTAGTAGGAGATCTCAACATTTCTAGTTGTGGGGCTCTCCAATTTTTTATTCCTCTTTGGTCAGCTTAATTACTCAAAATTATGTTGGGAGGACTGCACTTTGATTCGTACATTCAAATTGATAAGTACCTCTAGTTATTTCTCTTCTGAAGCGTGTGAAAAGCATATTGAAAGGGTTCATGAAAAAAAAAAGATCGGTGTTTGTATGGATAGAACACTAATATTTATTAGATGTGATTAGGCGATCATTAATTGCCACATTCGCTTTTCCCGTTTTGAAACATTTCAATCTCATTTGCCCGGAAAGTGCGACGTCACCTTCGAAGACGACGGCAGTTTGTATTGTTTGTGTAGGTGATGAATTGATGGGCACGACACGTGCGACAATACTCGGCAGAAATTGGATCACACGTCGCTTACGTGCGTTTGAGCTGACCCGAACCACATATATCTCGCGAATCGACCCTCTCAAAAACCGCAGGTGTCGTCCAGGAGACGCGGCGCGCTATTATCCATTGTCCGCGAAAAAATCCGCGCGGAAAAGTTCAAACGTCGCATATGCGATCGCGCCCCGTGCGCGGCGTGGTGACAAAACAATCGCGCATCCACCCTCCGTAACGCCTGGCTTTTTTTAAAACGACAAAGCGCTCCTCGCGGTCGCTTTATGCAAACGCGGCGGGAAGGCCGCTTGCTTGTTCAGTGAGAGCTAGAGGCCGGATGAAACGGCGCGCGTGTCTTTTTTTCACCGTGGCCTTGCAACAGTCGCTTTACAGCGCGTCATGGCGCGTGTTGACGCAACGCCGCCGCTTGCCAAGGTTTTTCCTAAATGTTACTTAAAACACTATACGTCAAACCTAAAAATTATTTTGTATGCTACATACTTAAGCTAGCAAGTGCAGTGCTATCTAGAAGCACAAACACTGAGTGCAATTGCAATATATTGTTTCAATTTTTGTCAATTTGTAACATATTTTTTGACTACGAGATGGCGCTGCAATCTGTAAGCAAAAAATTTTGACTCTAAATGAGGGCGAAAATTTACGCAGTTTTAGGACTTTGTGCGCGGCTGAAGTGATAGGGTGGAGCCGCCCCGTGAGCGACGTGCTCCTCCTTGTCTCTTTGTCGTCGTTCTGTTCTCGCGCTACAACTATCATCATCGCGACAGCGCACGTTGCGTCGTCGTTTCAGCAGTCCAACGTAGTTGCTGGCAACCGTGATTCTCGGGAGGGTCTTCCCCGCCCTTCTCTCCTCAGCCCTTTTCCTTCCGCTCCACGCTTTTTGGTTGTGATTACTTGACAGGTGCAGAGAGTCGTTCTGAGGCGTGCGTTATGCGCGAGTCGACGACGCGAGCTGCTTCAACAACGCCAGTGGAAAAAGAGCGTCGGAGAAGAAGCATGGCGCACTGCTCGCGCCCATGTGTGTGTAAACAAGGCGCTCGGCGCGGACGCTTCCCGGAGAGCTGAGAAAAGCATCTTCGCGTGGTGCTGGCTCGCGCTAACGACGCATGTAGTGCGTAGCAGCAGCGTGGTTTTGCGTGGTGGTGCGTCCAACCAACAGTGGAGAAGAGCGTGCGATCCAAACCACCGCGCGCGCAGCCCCCCCTCATCGCGCTCCTCGTGGAGAAAACGGAGGCGAGTTTGCGAGCTATCGTGCCCGATCCACCGCAGGACTTGGTTGTGCTCGCGCTGCGCGATCCCAAATGGTAATCGACGGTGCTCCGGCGCTCATCGTGGTTAGCACCAGCTCCCGTGGCCCCTGTGGCGTCGTCTCCAGCGGTGGTGGTGGTCGTCATCATCGGACATGGAAACCGCGAACGGCAACAACAACCACGGCGCTCGCGTCGACACGACGGCCGTGTTTTTGGACGTGTTCGGGGATCGGACCGAGTTTTCGACTTTCGACGAGTTCAGCGAGCTGTTCGTGCGCTTCGAGAAGAAATCGCGCTACATCTTCCGCGTGAAGAATTCGAGCAGTGTCGAGGCCGAGAATCGACGCAGGAAGGACAAGATCGACGCTGCCATCAAGTACTCCGGGCTGGTGCTGTGCTGCGTCAACTGCGGAGACGCCAGCAAGACCCTCAAGAGGGTCCAAGAAGGGTGAGTAGAAACCCCTTTTTTTTTAATTGTCGCATGTGCACAGCACCAGCGCGGAAGCGCTTTCTTTTTCTGCGCCTGTTGATCGCCCCACACCGCGGAAACGCACCCAACGCAAACGCATTCCGCGCGGTTTTGTTCGTCTTTTCGCGCGCCGCTTATTGCGGATAGCACAGCGCGAAATTCCGGTTTGAGTCACAGGGCGTGTGTGAGCGCGCGCTCCCGCGTGTTGCGTAATGTTTACGGGCTTGGCGCAGTAGATAGCAGCAGGCCCGAACAGGAAGTGTGTGCTTGCGATTGCGTTTTGCTGCAGGGATAGCGAAGCCCGTGTTTTGCCTGCGCACCACCGCGTGCCTTGGAGGAAAAGGGAGAAGAAAAAAAGTCACGTGTTGCGTAAGAGACGCGCATGCAACTAGTTCCGCACTGAGAGGGGCCCCCCCGCTTGCGCCTTCCTTAGTTCGCGCACGTGAGGAACTGACGCGCAGTGCGTCGTTGCAAACTCGTGCCTCGTTTCTTTTTTTGTTTCAAAAGGGGGGATGTTCGACACACCCGAGTTTCTTTTTCACGTGATAACTTCACCCAATGCTACTCGATCGTTGACCGTTCTGGCCTCGGAGATAAATAAAGCCAGCTCTGCGAAAGCCTCACCGCTGCAAGTTTTAAAGTCTTCGAAGTTGATGTCGCTTTGTCTTACTTTTTTGTTGTTGTTGTTTAGCGTGCGCTCTTCTGGGAAGGGCGGGTATTGCGTGGTGCGCCTTTGCGTTTGGTCTATTTCGTAATTCACTGGGACCTGCCTCTCTCCGAAGAAGGGCAAAAAGGAGGAACTAAATGGAAAACAAGAAAATGCGGAACTTGCAACGCCCCGAGCTTAGCGAAGCTACTCTTGGCGTTGCTTCGCGTGGTTTGGAATGCCGCTTGTTGCGAAATTGCGCTGGTATAAGGGAGGGGGGGGGGGGGCTGACTCAGTGTCGGTAGCACGTGGATAAAAAGGCGCGTGCGCTGGCCTGTTCCGCATTTTCTCTCTCTCCTTTTATTCCTCCACTGGCGCGTTTGTCTCTGCATTTCCTCCCTTCCCATCACTTCTACCATTTTGTAAGCTTTTTCTTGTCCCTATGAAAAAATGTGACTAACACGGCCCGTCACCGCGGTGTCAGCTGTTAAACGTCCGTGTGCCAGGTGTCATGGTCATGGCTACGCGTAACGGCCAAGGGGGGACCTTGGGCATCTTGCGCGGCCATCACTGTGAGCTGGAAAGTATAAAGAAACAAAAAAAAAGGCTAGTGCCGATTATATCTCGTGCCGCGACGACTCGGAAATCGCTGGCGCAATCCGAGTTGGCTCGCTTTGGAGGCGCGCGTACCAGGGCGACACGCGGAAACAAAAGACTTTTTTCTCTTCATGGCGTCGCAGCACGGCGGACCACGTGTTTCGAAGTGGTAGCGTGCGCACTTCGAGCGCCGTTCGCAACTTCACTGTACAACGAGGAGTTTTCCGGCGCTGTGGAAAAAAACAAAACAAAAGAAAACGTTGTGACTCACTGCATTTCGCGGAAGTCTGACATTGATTCATGCCGTGTTAACTCAGTTGAGAAAAAATCATTAGAAAACGATTCCCAGATTTTTCCAGGTGAGACGAGTGAGAACAGTGCTACCCAGTGGCTTGTCCTAGTTTATTATTCGTTTTTTCGTTACTATTCGTATTTGTTGAATGGAGTAGTTCCACTATAACCTTGGTAGTTTTAGCATTACAGCTGGAGGCATTCCTTCGGCTTCATTCCACAATAGGGAGTTTTCTGGCACAGCAGAGGGGAAGAAAGTGGTGAATCACTGCATTGATGGAAGTCTCGCAGCAGTACCTGGTGTAGGTAGTACTTTTATTCGCCTTTTCACCAAGCCCCCTCCCCCACAAGCTTCAACAGGATCACTTTGCGAAGAATATACAATGTATAAGTTCACTTAAGCGAAAGCAACAAATCATGATTTAGGTAAAAGCAGTGAAACAGTATTGTCAGCTAGAGCGAAAATGACGTACAATAACCGGAATGCAGAGATACTCATCTGTAAGGGTACATCACATAACTATCACAAACGTTACATTAGCTATCGAACAGTGTGTGCGTTATTTAATGGGTAGGACTAACTAGTTCGTAAAAAATGGTCGTTACTTCATGACAAAACAATACTTTATGACAAACCTCAGTTTAAGAAATTAAAAAAAGGGAAATCACCATTTTATTTTCACGTAAAACGAGAGAACGCTGCCACATAGTTGCTGCCGTATCCCAATGAATTATTCGTTTTTCTCCGATTTGCTTTTTGTCGAATTGAGCTGTATTCCATTCGCAAATAATGATAATCTTTGTCATTTTTCGGCATTGCAGGGAACTGCCGGCGTTCCCTCAGCTTCATTGTACAATAGTGAGCTTTCCGGCACCGTTACAACAGTTGTGGCTCACTGCATCACGAAAGTCTCGTGCAGTACATGACATATGTTAAAAAAAGAAAGAAAATCTTTTTGAACAAAGTTGTTGTTCCCATCTAAAACAAATAAAAGTAACAGTGCTTCGCAGCTGTTGCCTTATTACAATTTATTATTCGTTTTTTACAGTTTGTTCTTTGTCCAACTGAGCCGTATTCCTCTTGAAAAACAACTATCGCCTTTGCCTTTTGCCGTTTCACCCTCCTTGCAAATATCAATCCATCAATTTTTTTTTTGTCTTCCAATTTTTGCGCTGTCTTCGGCCAAGTCGCATTTTCATTGAAAAGATCTTTTGGGGGTGCATTCTTTTAAGCTACCGCGCCCTGCTCAGCTTGGCTCTCTGGTGTCAGTGGGGGACTTTATGATAAATACGTTAGTCATGATAAAGTTCATTTCGGTTGCATTTCTTAATGTGCTTGCATCACACTTTCTGGAACGTTCGTCCCTAATCAATATTTTGAGACGTGTCTTTCAATATCGACATAAGCTCTTAATAGTAACTTTGCCACTTCAGGGATAAGTGACTTACATATCACTTATGACTGCAGATTCATATGTGAAATGAGTGATTTTATAATTACAGCAATCATAAACTTGCTTGTGTGAGCATGAACTGGCTTTTATTCTTTTCTGGAAATGTATTATTATCATACTGTCATTACATTTGCCCCAGCCTACTGTGAATGGTATGCTGGATTGGGCACAACGCTGAATTGCCTTGTTTGCACAGTGCTTGCAAAGCGAAGAAAAATAAAATAAATTGGAACGAACGTTAACTCGTCACATCTGGAAGCGCTCGCTTGATGCAGGAATTTTCGTTCACTCTGTGCCAGTTGGTGCTTTCTCTGTCATCTAAAAAAAAAAAGCGATGCTGAAAGTTAACATTGCTGTCGTAAGCAACAGCTGCATTCCCATTTGCGCAGAGTTGCGCACAAAGCGCGCGTGAAACTCGTTAACCTTTTGTCTGAGATAAAGCATTTATACGGCTATATACTTACCAACAATGTTGGCTACCTTGAACAAATCTGCGTGAGAGCAGTTAGAGGGGACAGTCACTTGACGTCATCCATATGTGGGCTAGTGTAGCCCACCATGATGCCGTGCTAGACCGTTGCAGTTTCACGCGAGTTGTTATGTAAGTCTCTGGTAACACACACACATCTTTATCCTAGCTTGCTCAAACCAAGCAGACATCTGCGGTTCAGCTTGGCCACGACATCAAAGTTCAGCTCTCTGACTTACGAATATTTTCAGTTCGGAAAGGCTGTGTGCGTCAGATTGTAAGTTGGTGCTAGCTATTCAATATTCTCTTGTGAACATCCTGGAAAGCCGCTGGCAAGCTTTATCATGAGACATTCTGATTTAGGTTATTTAATTTAAAAAATATTTTTAGAAATCGAACTTAGTCTTTTATACTTTGAAAGGCCTGTGCTCCTGCAGCTAATTTATGCTTTTCAACTGTGGGAATGGTACACCCAACCCGAATTAATGCACTGTGGTGAGCTGTAAACCTTTGCAAATGGCATTCGCCCGTGCTTCACGAAAGCTTTTGTGTCATTTACACATCCACAGTGTATTCATAACCTTCATTAGTCAGGTCATGCAGGTATATACACTGACAAAATGTTTCATTTATCAACAGTCTTTGAAAGTTCACCTCCGCAGGCTTGACATTTTAGGAACGAACCTCCTTGAGGTGTGGGTCGTGCGTATCCTGTATGTTGTAACCGTCCCTGGTTTTAGTCCTTGGAATGTCCGCTGGATGGCGGTACTTGTATATGATGAAAAGATGCGAGATGGCGGTACTCGGACTATTCACTAGATGGACAGAGAGACATACAGATAGACGGACATGGGGACAAACATACAGACAGATGGATGGACAGACAGACACACGGATGAATGGACAGACGAACGAACGCGGCCAGCGGATAATCGACGATTTGCCGAACAAATCCTTCGAAGCTTCGCCCCACTCTTCATCATTCACTACGTGGTGATGCTGTGATTTTCCTTTTTCCTCATCAGAAAAATATCTTAGCCTAGCAAGTGCCTGCAACCTAGGTATGCAGTTACCGGCACAGTTTGCCAGGAAAGACATGGATGTAGGGCAAAAAAAAGTTTACTGCACAGATTGTGACGCATACAGCAAATAGACCTGCTGTGCATCACGTTCAGAGTATTCATCTGGAGCTGATCAAGCACATATCAGGCTGTATTACATCATGCTAAATATGTCTAAAACACTGCTTCAGAATACTCGAGCTTCAAGCGCCTGAAAATTCTCTCAAGCTGAGTCAAGTGAGCCGTTAGCCAACTCTGATTGCTGAGGATGCTGCTGATGCCATTACTGAAAGATGTGTTGGATTCCCTTTTAGAAGCTTTTCACAGCAGTTATTGAAATAGTATTTATTGCTGAGTAGTTTTTCATGGTGCACTTCGCAGAGCTGTGCTGTTTGCAGTGCGAAAGCGATGGGGCGTTTCCCTCCAATTGCCATGCTGATACAGTGCGTGACGTGCATATG